TAGCAATAATAACATATCCGCTTATGCATCTTCAGTTTAATGATAACTAATCCTATTAAACTAGTTGCAAACGTCACTTAAAATTAATATTCCATACCGATGAATAATTTATGCGAATAATTTAACGTATAAATAATTTGTGTAAATGCATGAGATAAAAAAGCGAATAATGACAATATAATTACGTTACATAATTGAATTAGAAGCAAATAAATCAATATCTTCAGAATGAAATCCGTGAATACAAGATATCTGGATTTAGAAGACGTTTATTAATGAAACCATTACTAAAATTAGCTGTCATTATGATCTTTGTAAAGTTATGGTGTTTCTCTCCCCCCCCCCTCTCTCTCTCTCTCTCTCTCTCAGAGAATTACAATATTTGTTCGACAGATTTGGCTACGCTTTCCAAACTATTTTTGACTACTCTCTTTTTGAACGGATGTCCTAATGTTTCCGAGCATTGCTATTTGTAGAGACGCATCAACGCCGCATTTTGAATGAATAAAAGTTCTTACCGTTACTAATCACGTATTCTCTATTATAAATTTATTTTTCGCAAACCATCTCGACCATTTTTACCATTCCGCTGTAGAATATTCTTCCACAGATTCTACGTGTATAGGAGGACTAAACATGATCCCGTACAGGAATTCGCCATTGAGACGCCGACGTTTTCCAACTACGGTAAACACGGCCGGTCAGTGCCGCGTTAACCGCCATCCGGGAGCGCGTTTATTCGCCGACCTTCTTGCACGCCACATCGACGACGATGAAACGAAACACACTGGGGCGGTCTGCAGGCGGTCTTTCCAGCGCGAAAGCTCCGCCTGCGAGGCCAGCCGGCGTGTATGCACGGTGCATGCACGGTGCATGCACGAGAAACGTCAACTTCTTCGTGGCACCTACTTACCTCTTCGTCTTCTCGTCCATCCATCCGTATGTTCATTTGAACTGGCCTTCTCGGACGCGCGGCGTGCCTTCGTTCATATGCTAATGCCTATGGCGTTTCGTGACGCGATATAGTTTTAGTTGTTGACCCTAGCTGACCTCCTCCGGAGAATGGGTCTTGGAGTGAAAGTGCGGGCGACGATGCGAGGATCTTTCCGTCGTTGACAGACCGTTTCGTCACGTCGAACAAATGTATAGGCAATGAGCGATTCTGTTATTCGAAACGAAGAAATTTCTATGAACAGTGTCATCTGCGCTTTTCTGAAGGAGGATACGACTCTCCCGTTCATGAATTCGATTATTGTTTTTACTGAATGCTTGTTCGCCACTCTTTCCGGTACCTATATATCGAAGGAGATTTGACAAGCCTTCCTTTCCACAACATTTTCTTCTTTCGCTTTTTCACAGAAGAGGCCGATTCACGTTTCGGAAAACCGCCTTTATAGATATCATGAAATGCAAAATGGAAATTCATATAAACTTTTTTTGTTATCTATTTTCCAATTTTTGATTAAATAAAGCAAAATATTTTTAAGGAGAAAGTTCTTCGTTTACTAATTATTAATTTCTCAAATATTAAGTAAAGCGTACATCAAAATTTGTCTTTATTATCCAAGTTAACTTTTTAATGCATTTTCCAACTTCACTTTGCAATAATATTATATTCTATATCGCTTAGATTAGATCTTTCCTTTCTTTCGATAATGATCTTAGTCTCAAATTATAATATATTCCTAATCGACGAACCGTAACGAATGATGATTTATGTAACAATCCATCTCATCGCCGATGTTTTTTAGGCGGACCTTTCTTAGAATACCATTTTTCGGTCAATAACAACGACGTTTTATTTTTGTGAAATGAACTCACAAGCGTGATGCAGCAGAAAAAAATATTTATTCAAATAAGAGAACAGTCCATTCAAAGACTCGGTTGCTCCTTTTTCCTTACGCTTGCATGAAACTAGTACGAGCATAAATTTCAACAGATAGTACGCTGCCGGAGCGAGAGAAGAAAGGACTCTCCCTCACAGATTCCCTAGGAGCGGCTGCACGGTTATTTAGATCTTTCATTCTCTCGCGGACAACTCAAAGACTTCGTCGTCTATCGCCTAAATTATTTCTCCGGTATTTCCACGAAAAGAAAAAGAGAGAAAAGAGAGAGAGAGAGAGAGAGAGAGAGAGAGAGAGAGAGAGAGAGAGAGAGAGAGGAAAAGAGATAAAGAACGCGTATAACTACAGTCTTTCCTTGGTGTTGGTGCATTTTCTTTAACGGTTTATGTATTTTAATATTATTTCGCTTAGATCGTTAAGTAAATAGATGTTGCTATTTTACCTAAGGTTTTCTAATCTTGCAAATTGTGTTTTATAAAAAAGAAAAAATCGATATGCTATGTGCCATTCTTATGATCACGAACGGCTAAAGAGATTCAGATAACCCTAGAGATCGTGCGCTTCGTACTTGGATCACGCTAATGAAAATAACGCACGTAATAGGAACGTGAGCGATACGCTTAGCCGTCAGGAGGAAGGGAGGTGTGCCCCGTATACACTTAGTCACACTGATAAAGTATTCCAATTGCGACGTGAGGCGGTTTAGTCCTCAGCAGGATTGACAGGGAAATGATATCACGCTGACAAGCCGTAAATACATAATGAAGTGTGGAAACCCCGTATGTTTAAATCCATGAATGCCTCCATCCGTCATCGTGAGTACACGCGCAGTACGACTTCGAATTTATAATCCCGTACGCTCATCTAGTATACCTGCGTGATTCATCATCTTATACACTCTTACAACGACAGATGAGTAGCCGTCGTTTACAATAAGTTTGAGGAAAAGTTAGACGTTAAGAGATATGCAATTAATATATCGTGCGCACAGCAATACTAATCTTTCAATTAACGATTTCCTCTTTGGCTCCGAATGTTACACCGAATGTACCGAGATTTTTTAAATCCAAATAGAATTGCTATGAGATGTAATGTTAATCTAATTGAAATCTCTATTAAGAGCTATTAAAATGATTTTTTCCATGTGACGAGGAAAATATATATTATTGTACTTTTACAGAATATTATATTAATTGTATTTAAATTATTATATCCTTTTAAAACCAGCTAATTACAATTCTTCGCTGTAAACATTAAGATATGCAGATTAAATTAAATTTGCCTAATTTCAGAATGAGAATACATTATAAGTAATGATTCAGTATTGAGATAGAACGTTTAAATTTTTAAAAACAAAATAATTAAAATACTTAAAGAAATTTTCAAAAATTGTTAAATTTAAAGATTTTATATAACTTATCAAACTATTATATAAAGTAAATAACAAAGCTATTGACAGAAACTATATGTTTTAGAATAGTCCCTTTAATTACTTAAATACTTTTATATGTAATCTCTAAAATCTAGGTAAGAGCATTAGTTTGATCTAAAAGCTTGTTAGTTATCTAGATAAAATGCAGATGGCGTTAAAGGTCTCACCTACTTTTAAGGGTAGCTACTCTCTATGCATGAATAACGCAGTTGTTTTTTTCCTAAGAGAAGCTATACACAAACATATTATTTTTAAATTAACTTCGAATAAATTTTTATAAAAATATAACAATGTGATGTAATTTTATCTAAATATAATATTAATTCCACGCAAACTAATTGACCAATATCCGTTCTGTTCAACTGTCAAATCCATTAATTAATAATTTATCAACCGAGTTTGATTTATCGAATCTAGTAGCCGAAGTTATCGGTTATCCTGCATACGCGGGCAATCTGATTAAAACTGACACTGAATGCGTAGCAAATGCACTCACGCATGCAAGTTCGCATGTCCAAACTGAAACTTTGAAAATATACGTGTTGAGCATATCTGTTTCAAAACTTTTGCGGGAAATCCACTCACGTTCGCAACGAAGACGCAACAAATCCTTTTCGGCATGCAACGTTACGTTTGTCTCGAATACTTTTGGGAGTAGCCAAAAACAGCCGGTTAAAAGTTCAAACGTCGAAGTGAAGGAACAACAAATCATCGCGGAAAAAACAATGTTTATCCTATAAAAGTTCGCCGACAGGCGCCGTGGGATATCCCATAGCCTATTAGATGACGTCGTGGACGTACGAGGCGCCCGAGGGTGAAAGATCCTCGCACGAAGAAACGAGGGAGAGAATGTTCGGAAGAGAAGCCGTTTGATAAATGCATGCCAGTGCGTCTAGGAACCAGTTTAGTGTTTACCTAGTAAAAAGAGAAAAGAACAGGAAAGAGAGAGAGAGAGAGAGAGAGAGAGAGAGAGAGAGAGAGAGAGAGCAATGTTGTCAGTCAGCTGGTTTGTTGCATCTCCAAGGCAGGCAGGCAGGCAGACAGGCAAGAAGTAGGCAGCCGCCTGTGGCATTCAACGTTCGTCGAGAAGTGTTCTCGCGAGCACCGTGTCTCTGTGTCAGTGCCGGTGTAGCACGTTGAAGGAAAGAAAATGGAAGGGATATATCCTGCTAGTGGTGGGGCAATGGCAACGGTGGTGGAAATGGAGAACCAAGAGAAGGGGAAGGCAACCGCACGCTGCTAGTTATGCAGGGTATACTCGTGATCGTCGATAGAACTCCTCGGAGTCAGTTGCACTCCGACCGTCGCGGTGGAATGTCGTCGTATCCCGGGTCGCCGTCATCCCGGGTCGCACGTAATCACATCATCATTGCAACAATAAAATATCCATCGCATCTATTGTGTTGGTGATCGCTTCGAATTCGTTGGGAATGAGCGATCGATGCTCGACCGATTCGCGCGAGCGGATGACGAGGTCGAGGGTCATCGCGTCGGTGTTAGTGTGAGTCGTGTTCGCCGACGGCGGGAGAATCGGTTAGAGTCGGCTGAATATAATTCAGCGTGTTTTGCTTTTTTCTGCTTGTGGCGTGGCGTGGCGTGAAACGGTGTGTACAGTTTAAACAGAGTGCCGCAACTATGAATGCGTGACGGTGCGTTCAATTTTTCAAGCACCCGCGCGAGTATTTTTCGGCTACAGGTGTGCGACTACGGGAACATCGTCCAGGATGGAAGCGCGTTGTCGCGTAACGTCATGGTCGTGGCCGACGATCTTGTCGACGATCGTCGTCCTGTGCCTGACGCTGAAACGTTGTACTGTGTACGGACGCAGCATCACAAGTCTCTCGCAGGCGCCGAGCGGCTGCGAGTGGAGAAAGGAAGACGATGACGCGGAAAAGATTCTGGCGTGCCAGGTCAGAACGATCGCAAACGTGCCTGATCTGATTGGAAATCTTTCGGCGATACAGATAGACTCCATAACATCGTTGGGATTGGAATGCAGTGATGTATTATTCTTCGAAAGTCAGCTCGAGGGTTCACATCTTTTCCTGTTGCCATTACCACGTCTTACGAAACTGCGTATCGATTATTGCAAGATCCGATACTTACCGGGCGGTGTATTCGCCCTGGTACACAATCTCCGCAGTCTATCCTTGCGAACGCACAACGGTGATTGGTCAACCATGACGCTGGAACTCCATCGCGATGCGCTTCGCGGTTTGACGAATCTGCAGCACCTCGATCTCACCAACAACAATCTTTGGACGTTACCGTCGGAACTATTCTGCCCAGTGCAGAGTATCGTGAGCTTGAACTTGACGCGCAACAAGTTACAGGACATCACGTCCTTGGGTTTTGCCGATTGGGGCGAATCCTGTACGCCGAATCTCGAGATTCTCGATATCAGTAATAACGACCTCAGTGCCTTGCCCGACGGCGCGCTCAGCAGCTTGCGTAGCTTGACAGTGCTAAAGGTACAGGATAACGCAATCGGATCGGTAGGTGACCACGCTCTAACTGGCCTTACGTCTCTGCAAATCCTCAACATGTCTAGCAATAGACTCGTTGCACTGCCACCAGAATTATTTTCCAAAACGAAAGAGTTGAGACAGCTAATACTTAGCAACAATTCCTTGACGGTATTAGCGCCCGGGCTGCTGGACAGTCTCGAGGAACTCCAGGAATTAGATCTCAGCAATAATGGATTGACGAATCCTTGGGTAAAACGGGACACTTTTTCACAATTGATTCGTCTTGTCGTCCTTGATCTATCATTCAACGCCTTGACGAAAATAGATGCGTCCGTCTTCAAAGGTCTGAATAGTTTACAAATTCTGAAGCTTGAACACAACAATATCGATACACTCGCCGACGGTTGCTTCGCCTCGCTCATTAGCCTGCATTCCTTAACGCTTTCGCACAACAGGATCGCCAGATTCGAACCAGTGCACACGGTCGGTCTTAGTGCGCTCGGACAGCTCTTCCTAGACAGTAACAGACTGCGCGTTCTACATAGGCATGTGTTCACCAATCTCACGAATCTTCAGGATCTCTCTTTGAGCGGTAACACTCTGACAGAAGTTCCTTACGCGGTTCGCGTGTTGCATTCACTCAAAACTCTCGATCTAGGTAACAATCAAATGTCAAGAATCGATAACGATTCGTTTGCCGGTTTGAACGAAGTATACGGATTGCGTTTAGTGGACAACAAGTTGGAAAACGTATCGCGCGAAGCATTCGCTACATTGCCGGCATTGCAAGTGCTTAATCTAGCGAATAATTTCATTCGTCATGTGGAACAAAGTGCTTTCTCAAATAATCCAGTGTTACGGGTTATAAGACTAGATGGAAATCAATTGACGGAGATACGAGGCGCCTTCACGAGTCTCTCGACTCTCGTTTGGCTAAACGTGTCCGATAATAAGCTGCTGTGGTTTGATTACAGCCATCTACCATCCAGCATAGAATGGCTGGACATACACTCCAATCAAATAAGTGAGCTGGGGAATTATTACATGGTGCACAATAGTCTGCGAATAAAGATGCTAGACGCCAGCTACAATCTTATCACCGAAATTAAGGATGTCAACGTGCCAGATAGTGTGGAGATGCTGTTCCTAAACAACAACAAGATACGTAATGTTGCGGCCGGCACATTCTCGCAGAAGCCAAATCTGGAGAAGGTAGTGCTTTACAGTAATGAGATCAAGAAACTGGAAATCACCGCTCTCGGTTTACAATCAGTATCAGAAAACAAGGAACTTCCTGCGTTTTATATCGGGGACAATCCCATTCTCTGCGATTGCACTATGGAATGGTTGCCACGGATCAATGAGATGGCTCGGTTACGACAGTATCCGCGCGTCATGGATCTCAATGCTGTCACGTGCGACATGGTGCATGCTCGCGCCACACCGCGGCGTCCTCTGATGTCCTTGAAGTCGAAGGACTTTCTCTGCCGATACGATACGCATTGTTTCGCGCTCTGTCACTGCTGCGATTTTGATGCCTGCGACTGCGAGATGACCTGTCCCGACAATTGTTCATGCTATCACGATCACAGTTGGTCCAGCAACGTCGTTGACTGTTCCAATGCTGGGTATAGACACGTACCGGAGCGAATACCTATGGATGCGACGGAGATCTATCTAGACGGTAATGAGCTAGGTGATCTGAGCAGTCACGTTTTCATCGGCAAACGTCGCTTGGAGGTGCTGTATTTGAACAATAGTCGTATCATAGCAATACATAATCGAACATTCAACGGTGTCGGTGCTTTGCGCATTCTTCATCTCGAGGATAACGCATTACGAGAACTACGGGGCTTCGAATTCGATCAGCTGGAGCGCATGTCGGAATTGTATCTGGATCATAATGCGATCGCCACCGTAGGCAATACAACTTTCAAGAAGATGCAAAATCTCGAGGTGTTACGACTGGATAACAATCGTATTGTTGACTTTCGACCGTGGGAGGCCTTGCCGAGCGTCGGTGATGGCACCAAAGTCGCGCTGGAGGGCAATGCGTGGAGCTGCGAGTGTACGAATGCTGCCAGACTACGTGCCTGGCTCGCGGAACATCGTGGTGATCCGGAGAAGATGTATTGCCGCGACGGTTCCGAGACTCTCGCCCAAGCAATGGAAAGATGCGGTGATCCGTCCACGGAAGCTGTGAGTCGCGGTATCCAAGAAATTCCGTTGCTAGGCAGTAATTTTGTGCCCTTGCTTGCTGGTGCTTTGGTAGCTGTTATCGCCGTCTGTCTCATTGTCGCGTTAGCTTTCGTTTTTCGTCAAGATGTGCGACTCTGGGCCCACTCGCGTTATGGTCTGCGACTTGGTAAAATGACAGCACCGCCTGATGAGGAGAGAGATAGATTATATGACGGTTACATTATCTACAGCGAGCGCGACGAAGATTTCGTCTCCAGATTTCTTGCAGCTGAATTGGAGCAAGCTGGCTTGGCTCTTTGTTTACACTGGCGTGACTTACCGCCGGCCAGGCCGCAGGAGGCGCTACCACCGGCCGCTGCCTCCGCGAGACGCATCGTGATAATTTTTTCGCCGGTGTTCCTCGCGAATGAGTGGCAGCACGCAGAATTCCGCGCTGCTCTGAGAACGGCGTTGGAGAACATTAGACCGACCTCGCGGAAACGTCGAGTAGTAGTGTTATTAGCTACTGAGACGCCCACCCGAGACCCAGAGTTGCAACTGCTACTGCAGACGTGCACGGTAGTAATCTGGGGCGAGAAGAGGTTCTGGGAGAAGTTGAGGTTTGCCATGCCAGACTCGGTCGACAAACGACGCGATAGCAAGAAGGTCAATGACCGCAACCGCACGCCGACGCGATACACTGCGGCGCCGTCCGCTGCCGTGGACGTTTGGACCAAGCCTAATGGCGTTTTGGTCGCACCGGTGCACCATGCACCCACGCCGACGCCCACGCAGTCTACCTACGTCAGCTCGGCGTCCAGCCGTACCGAGGATGAGGATAGCGGCGCGGAACACCAACATCATCAACATCATCAACATCAACATCATCCTCATCAACACGGCTATAGCGCGCTACATGCCGGTAACGGCCGTCCGGCCAGTCTGTCTTCGAGAGGCAGCCATCTCTACAGCACTATACCGGAACCACCGGTGGTGCCCACCGCGCCACCCGGCGAGGCCCTCGCTCCCGCGCATCCAGGCAATCCGCGTACTTACTTTGTCTAGCGCAGAAGGGCGGCGATCGTGCTCCGATCCGGCAGGAGATAGACCGATTCCCCATCTTTTTCTTCCGGTCTTCGCCTCGCTTCCGGTACCCGCTGGGACACGGTCGTCCGGTCGTATCGTGACGTTTCTCGTCGAGATGTAAAAAAATTCCTTCGCTTCAGAACGACTGTGACTACACTTGTACAGTATTCCCCAGTACTCGCGACGTATCGACCGTCACCTCGACTGAGACGCTTTAACTCTTCCACTTGGGGTCGATCGCCCCGCGATATGAACCACTCGGCCGCGAGCAGATGATTCGTTCGCAGCACGCGCGCATAATATTACATACGTACGAAATCGATTTGATGCCTTGTGCTTATTATCATAATGTATAACGATGGATAGATTTAATGGCTTGACTTTTTTCCTAAACTTAGGATACGCGCGTGATCGTCATTCTTTGTTCTCTTCTCGGTATCTCTTTTTCATGTTGCGCAATGTTCTTCCAAATCACGACCAAATATTACCGTTTCGAAACTCATGGAACGAAAGTTCTAAGGGCCCTTCTCCTTTCGTATAGATCTTGTAAATAGTGACGCGGTATTGGTGAGAATGTAGATTTTTTTGCGCTTTGATTTAACGAGCGAGACGTCGCGTGAGATAATTAAGGATCGGTATTAATTTACCTATAATATACGTATATCCGCACTCTCTAATTCTCGCGAATCTCTTTCGCGGGTCTTTACATTGACTGATTTATTTGCCACGCGAAATCATGATGAATCATCGAAATCTGAAACTAGGTCGCGATCAAAAGCACCTGAGCGAATTTTACGGAATGTTTCATTACGATGGATAGGTCTCTAATTTAAATGTTTTGTCATGTGATCCCTTTCACACACGAGTCCTTTGATTTAGAGTCGTCCTGTTTCGATTTGCATTAATTGTCATAACTGTCAGTAAATTTGCTAATATTTGGATATTTACGATAAACACGGGGAATAATAATGATTATAATGGCAGCTAAATATAGTAGTACAGAAACTGATGTTATGACATAATGCAATTATTTTATATTAATTAAATCGCATTGGTAATTTTTATTTCTAACATTATTCATATCAAAGCACACGCGGAACAATTGTAATAATATTTGTAACGGTATTAGAGAAAATGTACAAGAGAGAATACAAAGTGTTCTTTATAAATATTTATTTTACATACGCTTGAATGAATGCATTTATTTTTTATCGGTGATACTTTATTTTATAAGCGTATTTTATAACCGTATTATGCGTTTGACAACTTAATTGTAAATATTTATATATATATTTTTCCGATGCTCGAGCGAAATAACGTTGCACGAGAAAAGTGAAGTGATATATACATATACATACGAATATTGCTTTCGTAATCGTTTATCCATTTGATTTCGAAATGGACATCGAAATGTCGAAGAAATCATATTTTCATGTAGTAGATTTCGAATTATTATAAATATACGCGTATAAAATTTTGTCAAGTACTCGTAATAATTTTCGATAAGACGGTTAAAATGTATTATAAATAGTACGAGAATATATTTTTCCTTTCGTATTCCGATTCAAGAAATCTTAAGATAAAGTTCCTCGCGCATCTGACACTTCTTTGGAACCCGAGGCGCATCCCTCTTTGCCATTCCTGTCGTTTGTTCGTCGATCACTCGCGATGAAGTGGATAACGAATCATCAAGTGTTAAATGACAGAAAGAAAAGACGTCTCGCGAGAGCTTGTTCCTAAAGATTCACGACTGTTTGTTGATGAAGTAACGGTCGCATAACGCTTATTAGTCCGTAAGTGAACTCTCTGTAAATATTGTATCTAATTTTGTAAATATAATCATGCACATTTCCGAGCACACCGAAGACCAGCGCTGCTGGAACGTTACTGGTCGTGGATACGTCTTAATTATAATTGCGCGTTTAGGACTGTATAATTCTAATTGTATTGTATTATTGTAAATACGCTCATCGAATCACGCATTATATATTCACAGTCTGTTAAATACGTATTAAATTAATTGCCACTTTCCATTTCAGCAAAGAATCATAAAAATAAACACGTTTGTTTTATAAAAAAAAAAAATTTATCGCGTTTAATCAATCCTATAAAGTTCCCGTTCCAATTATAATATTGCAAAAATATTCTGATGATGTGATGTTAATCTGAAAAAAAAAATACATTGAAAAAAAATATAATCAATTTTAATAAATATTTAGTTGAATACTGCCAACTAAATATTTA